AAAAATCGAATAGTCGAATAGAATCGACAAATCGCGACAGCCCTACTGTGGTTAAACAAATGTCAATCAATCTGCCAAAAACCATGGTTACTACACTTTTATTATAGTAAAACCATGGTTAATTTCCATATTTCGTAAGGGAAAGTTAATGGATAATAGTGTTGGGTTGTTCTTGAACGATTCGTTCATTTTGAACGAATCTTTAAGAGTCGTCTCGGGGAGTGATTCGTTCAGTCGCGCATGCGCAGCATCCTATAGGTTCCAGTGTTTCCCCTGCCATTATTTTAGAGGGGCGGCATGTCGTTTCAGTCTACGTTATGCTCGCGCTCTCTGTATCACGCACACACACACACTCACACACACACACAAGTGAGCCCACTCCCACTTGTATTTGTAAATATAAAGCCGCAAATCGATTCATATTTAAATATGAATTCTGCGTGTCTCTGTGTTAATGAATGGCGCAGATGTGCGGTTTTGTGTAGTACTCGTACTGAAGCGCTCGTGACGCTTCTGGTGATATTAGCCTCTGCCCTCTCACTAATGAGGACATAAACACATGAACAACATCTCCAGAACTGCTCTGAGAGCCACTTCATCAGCATCTGACCGTTTCATCTCAGTACAATTATCCTCATATCATACACACACAGAAATGTAATGGTATTCACGGCAACCCGTCAAAATAAAGGTTCGGTTTAACTTTAAGACATTGTGACAGAAATATATTACTATTGCTGAGTAGAATGTACGTAACAGACTGCTACTACTACTACTAAAATTATTAAAACCTTATTTTCAAGGAATAAGCATTCAATATTTCTTCAGTGTTGTAATTGTAGTATTAAATGACCTTTATTTTCCAAAAAATTTTATTTGTTTAATTTTCATTACTTAAAAGATAGATTAAATGAATGTTTTATGCCTTAAAACAAAATGTAAATACACAACACAGAATTTCTGAGCAAAAAAATCATAAGGCTATTGTAAGAATAAATGAAACTTGTTTTATGCTTTCAAATTAGACATGCTAAAACAGAATTTGGTTACAATAAAACGTAAGGTTGGACAAATAAAACATTTTATAGAATCTTTTCTGTTTCTTATAGCAGTTTTGTATTGTTTGTAGTGTGATCAACGTTTGCGTAAGTAAGGGAAGTGACACGTACCATTTTAATTATATTTAGCTAAAATGAACGAATTAACTCGAAAAAAGATTCATTCATTTTGCTGAACGAGACTCAAAGGTCCGAGTCGGTAAAATGATCCGAACTTCCCATCACTAATGGATAATGTCCTGGCAGAAAATTATCAGTAGGCTTTTTTCCCCCTCAATTTAAAAGGGTCATATGATGCGATTTCAAGTTTTCCTTTCTCTTTGGAGTGTTACAAGCTGTTCGTGAATAAAGAAGATGCAAAGTTGCAAAGACTAAAGTCTCAAATCCAAAGAGAGTGTGATCAACGTTTGCGTAAGTAAGGGAAGTGACACGTACCATTTTAATTATATTTAGCTAAAATGAACGAATTAACTCGAAAAAAGATTCATTCATTTTGCTGAACGAGACTCAAAGGTCCGAGTCGGTAAAATGATCCGAACTTCCCATCACTAATGGATAATATCCTGGCAGAAAATTATCAGTAGGCTACATTGTACTTTTTTCCCCCTCAATTTAAAAGGGTCATATGATGCGATTTCAAGTTTTCCTTTCTCTTTGGAGTGTTACAAGCTGTTCGTGAATAAAGAGGATGCAAAGTTGCAAAGACTAAAGTCTCAAATCCAAAGAGTTATTCTTTATAAAAGTTGAGTCAGCCACGCCTACCTAAAACGGCTCGTTCTAACACGCCCCCACATGTCTGCATAACGCCGCCCAAATTTTCACGCAAAGAAAGAACGCGTAACTTTTATTCTCGCTGTATTATTGTTGGCGCTGCCGCCATGTCGTGAAGACGCTGTGTGTTTCGTTGTGAAAGCGAAACTACTTCGTTTGGTCTTCCAAAAGAGGACGATATCCGCTTCGCCTCAGCTCACTCTATCCGCTCACGCTAGGCCGCTGTGTTGTTCGTTGTGAAAGTGAAACTACTTTGTTTGGTCTTCCAAAAGAGGACAGGACTAGAAATCAGTGGTTAAGTTGTATTTACA